CCACCATAATTTTTTTTACCACCTATGCACTAAGAATGCTTTTTACACTTTTAAATGGTATTATGTATTTTATATAGACGCCTACATAATATCCTTGATTGACTCTTGGCCTCCCAAGCCCAAAATATTTACTGTTTCTTAAGAAAAAGTTTGCTTGCCCTTGGTCTAGAGTTAATCACTATCCATATCCTCCCACTAAACAAAACAAGAAGTTTGGCTCACATTCTCTTTCTTCTTCCTTTCTCCTAATTCATTCAACAAGTATGGAGCACCAACCATGTGCCATGATACATTCTGGATATTGGAAGGAAGACATTTTAAAATCTTGGATTTTAATTCCTGATGGCTATTCATTTTCTTTTACTTTATAAATTAACCAATATTTAGACTAAATGACTTCTTTCATGGTGTCACCGATAATAATTTTCACTTCATGTAACCTATGGCATCTATTATGGATTTATTTTTCATTTTGCTGGTGTTCATTCTTGGAAAATTTTTCAGAAGGACTGTGTAGGAGGAAAATTTTCAGATTTCTTACATATTTCAAGCATGTTTGTTTCCCTGTATCCTCAAGCGTTTGTGCTTCTGTCATAATTTTCATTTTTTGGAAGCTTTTAGGATTTTCTTTTCATACTTGGAATTCCCAAAGTTTACCAACGTATGTTTAAATGAGTATATGTTTAGGTAATTTTCCCTTGCAATAGACCTCTTCAATCTGAATATGTGTGGCATTTTTAGTGACAAAATTTTATTCTATTATTAAGTAGATTATTTCTTTTATTCTATTTTCTCTGTTGTCATTTTCTGAAACTATTAGATATATATTGTGCTTCTGGATGAACTTCTATATGCCTCTAAAGTTTTTCTCTTTTCTTTTCTATCTCTTTGCTTTGGAATGAAATAAAAAATCAGACAGACATGATCCCTGACCTCATGGAGCTTATATCTGGTTGCTATAAAGAAAAAAAAGTAGAATACAGTGATCTTTACACCACAATATGTCTCCTACTCTGTTTATACTGTGTGTTCTTAGAAAAGCTACAGTAAAAATAAATACCTCCAATTTCCTCTGGGGCAAAAAAAGAAAGCAGACAAAGAGAATAAATAAAGCAAATTTCAAGTGGTTTTATAGAAAGTCTGAGGACTTGATAGTTAAGGGGAGACCAGAAGAATGAGAAGGAGTCAGTCGTGCAAGAGGGATGGGGCATGTGCAAAAAGTATTTGGTGTGTTCAGTGCACTGTGAAAGACAATCTGATTGGATTGGAGCGAGCAAAGAAGAGAGTGGGCCAATCTGAGGTTGGAATTTTAAGCAGGAACTACATTATTCTGGGTAAACAGTTTGGATTTTATTCTAAGTGCAAGCGGAGGCCATTAAAGGGCTTATCTTTTTCAAAAATCACTCAGGCTTCTGGCACAGAATAGTTCAGAATAGTAAGAGTTGAGAGAAAAAAAGGTGGCTTGGATTATAAAATACCAAAAAAACAACAAAAATCAGAACTTACCAAATTTTTGGGAGGTGGTCATAGATGTACTGAGAGAAAAAGAATATTATTTTAAAATTTATTATTATGTAAGAAAGGACGGAGATAAAAGAAGCAAGCACTAAACTTAAGAAACGAGAAAAAATCAAAACTAAACTAAAAAAAGTAGGGGGCCGGCCCCACGGCCGAGTGGATAAGTTCGCACGCTCTGCCCAGGGTTTTGCTGGTTCAGATCCTGGGCGTGGACATGGCACCGCTTGTCAGGCCATGCTGGTGCGGTGTCCCACATGCCACAACTGGAAGGACCCACAACTAAAAGTATACAACTATGTACCGGGGGCTTTGGGGAGAAAAAGGAAAAATTAAAATCTTAAAAAAAAAAAAAGTAAAAGAGAAGAAGTAGTAAAATAAAGCCTATAAGGTAATTAGGAAAAAAGCCTGATAAGAAATACAAGAATTGCTCTTTCTAGAAAACAATAAATGATGAATAAGTATAAGCAAAATTTTAATTTTCATATCAATTGCTTGACTGGCCACCAGAATGGTTTTGTCAATTTATACTCTCATCAAAGACCACAGCTTTGTTTTCTCCATAGTTTATCAGCCTTGTTAGTATTTGAATAAATTCTTTTGCTATAATGATTGATGAAAAATTATGTCTTGTCCTTTTAATATGCACTTAAACAATAGAGATAATAAACAACTTTTTCCATTTTTATTGCCCCTTTGAATTTCTTCTCTGGTTAGATAACTGACTATTTGTACCCTTTGTTTTGGGGTATGTTTGACTTTTACTTATTAGTTTACAGCACTTTTTAATATTAAGGATATTACTCCTTTATCTCCTACATTTTTAACAAATATTTTCCAACTTTTTTTTAAACTTCGTTTATGGTGGCTTTTGAAATAAGAAGGACTTTTGTTGTTATTGTCATTATTGTTTCTTCTTGTGTTCTTTCTGAATACGGATAATTCTTTCAACGTTGTCTTTGGAGTTTAAAGTTTGGAGATAATACTGTCAAACTTTCTCCTCATCATAAAATTATCAAAATAGTCACTTAAGTGTTCACCTAGATCATTTCTGGTTTTGTTTACATTTAATCTATCTGAGATTTATTTTGTGGTAAAAAGTGGGGTAGAGGTACAATTTATTGCTCTCAAAATGGCTAGCCAGTTATTTCCAACATTATTTATTGTATACTTTTTGTACTGCCTTGATAATAGAAATACTTCTAGGGTAGCACTTTCTGGTATGTTCTGAGAAATATGACAGGACTGGACATCAATATGTATTTCAAGAAATATTTTCAGAGTTAAACATATTTGAAAAACTTAGAATAAATAAATTAAATAAATTTATTTAAATGTTGGACTTCTCAGAGATTTTATCATATTACTCTTCTTTGTTTACTGTAAAAGGAGAGTATATACTACTATATTATATAACACTATTTTCACTGAGCCTCTAAGGGCAAGTAATCCATAGAAAATATTTTGGAACATTGCTTTACATTGATTTACATTTACATTTTTGTTGTTGTTTTTGGAAACATATAGTTAGAATTTTACAGAAAAAATTTTTATTTATATTTCATTGAACTTCAAGCAAAAATTGATGTTTTATTTTCAACATCATCAAAATAATCATACAGTTTTCTTCTTTTTAATCTATTAATATTATATAACAGGTTAACAGATTTTCTAACAAGGCACCGTTGTTGCTTTTCTAGAATGAATGTCACTGGATTATGGTGCATTATTTTTTCAAAATAACTCAGATAGATTAAGTGAAATTTAATTGTGTGTGTGTAAGAAAGAAGAGACAGTTTCCTAGTTAGGTTTTGGTGACAGGAATAAGATAAAAAGATTGGGAAGTTTTCATTCTTCTTTAGGCCTTAGAATTGTTTAAATAATATAGAAAATGCCTATTTGTCAATACTCTGAAATATATATAATGTATTTATATTTATGTATGTTGCTCAAGATCACACAGCCAGTAAGCTAACACCAGGACTTGAACCAGCAGCCTGGCCCTACAGTCTGCTCTAAACCACCACACTCTTCCATTGGACAACAGGGGCGTGAGTTATTTAACTATTCCATCACTGAAGGACATTGAGGATGTTTTCAAAGTTTTCCTAGTACAATGCTACAACACTCTTATGGATATAGTTTTATGAATTTATGCTATTATTTGTGGGAATAGACTCCTAGAAGTGGAGTTTTTGGGCTGTAAGGTATAAACATTTTAAATATTAACAGCTGCTGTCAAATGGTCTTCCAACAAAAGTTTACTAATTCGTATGCCCACTAAATGTCTATGAGAGAAACTACCTCATCAACACTGTATTATAACTTGTTTAATATTTGATAGGTAAAATATATCTTATTACTGCTTTAATTACTTTAAATATTAGTGACTTTGAGCATATTTTATATGATTATTAGCTACTTACATATTTTCTGTGACTTGCTTGTTCATTTATTTTCACATTTTTCTATTGAGTTGATCATCTATTTTTTTTTTTGAGGAAGATTAGCCCTGAGCTAACATCTGCTGCCAATCCTCCTCTTTTTGCTAAGGAAGACTGGCCCTGAGCTAACATCCATGCCCATCTTCCTCCACTCTATATGTGGGACGCCTACCACAGCACGGCGTGCCAAGCGGTGCCATGTCCTCACTCAGGATCTGAACCGGCGAACCCCAGGCAGCTGAAGCGGAACGTATGAACTTAACTGCTGCACCACTGGGCCAGCCCCATGGTTGATCATCCTCTTCTTCTTTATTTGTAGGAACTCTTTACGTAATACTGTATTAGTCTTCTAGGGCTGTGGTAACAAATTACCACAAATTTAGGGGCTTAAAACAATGAAATTTTATTCTCTCACAGTTCTAGAGGCCAGAAGTCTGAAATCAAAGTGTCGCAGGGCTATGCTCCTTCTGAAGTCTTGAGGAGGGAATCCTTCCTTGCCTCTTTCACATTGTGGTGGCTCTAGGTCATCCTTGGTTTGTGGCAAGGTAACTCCCATCTCTCCTTCTGTCTTCACACGGCTTTTTCCTGCGTCTTTGTATTTCTTTTCAGTATCATATAAGGATGCTCATCATTGAACGCAGGGTTCACTCTCATTCAAGATGATCTCATCTCGAAATCCCTACCTACATCTGCAAAGATCCTTATTCTACATAAAGTCAAACCTTTCTGAGGTTCCAGGTAAACATATCATTTGGAGGAGGGGGGCACCATTCTACCCATTACAAATAGTGATTCTTTAAAATATGTGTTTTCATACAGTCAGTAGTACTTTCACATTTGTAAAAGAGACGCTTGTTTCACAGATTTTTTAAAAATTTGATTTAGTTGTGAGTGGGGAAATCAATCCCATATCACTGATGCTTCCGGACTGCTCCTCCACCTACTCTGCTTCAGAGAGGCTGGGAAGGCACATCACCCAGTGGAATCTCTCTGAGGTCACAAATGAAACAATATTTACTTTCTAAAAGGAAATATGCTTACCTTTATTAGCCCAAGATGCTTCCATCTACATTTCCATGGCTCTGCTAAGGTGACAAAGCAGCTATGTCATTGTATTCTTTCAGAAATGCTGGAGATGAATATCACTCTGTGTATCAGCACTCCGCTTTGATGTACTCTGAATGCTGTGGTTATACCTATTGGTGGATAAGACAAATTACCATTATGTTCTCTATTTTGCATTTTTCATAAAGACCTCTTGACTTTTAGTTTCCCCTTGCCCAAGCCTCTTGAAATTAATGGCACTAAAAGGGCATTCAAAAGCACAGCTAATTCCTTTGCTTTATATTCCCACACTTAATCTCATTCAGGCTCGGAGTAGCAGGTGAAATTTTAAAAAACACAAAAACAAAAACCAAAAACAGTCAACTTACCACACCAGACTCCTGGTTTTAACACCAATATTTTCTGAAAAGCCTAACATTTATAATTGGTTTCTGTTTGCTTATAGCTCCCCTCCTCTGCCTTAATTACCAAAAATTGAAAACAACACTTCTGTTGCACATTATCTCGAATTCAATAGATCCACAAACGGTGATGTCTGAAATCAAGAGTCATAGATGAAGTATTTTGATATAATTGAATGTGAAGCATCTCATCTCAGGAAAATGGCTTTACGTTAACATACACAAATTTAATAGCATAGGGTATTTTGAATTGCAAAAAGCAATCATTGCAAGTATATGCAAAATTAGTTACATTTTGTCAACATATAGCAACTTTTTTCATTCAAGGGAGATTTTTTTTCCATTTATCTCTTGGCCTATGTGATGTAATTTACATTCAGAAAGCTTATTCCAATGCACAGTCAACAACTTAATGGCCTTGGCTATGTAACAGAAACCATCCAAACAAAAGTGCAGTGTTCAGAAAAGTGGCAAAAGGACATTATAAGAGAAAGGGCAAACCACATAAAGACATATAAAATTGGTCACATGTTTTGGAAAGGGGGATAGGTAAATATACACACACACACAGAAAAATGAAATCAATAGAGTATTAACCAATAGTAGGTTTCTTCTCCAAAGAAGGCTGATTTAATCTCTAGGAATTTGGGAAAATACATAGAAGGTTGAGTCTCCACATACAAGTGGAAGCTTACTAGTTTATCACATTTTTGAATCATTCATTAGATCTCCTGGCGAGTGTCTAACTTATTTCAAGGTAAGTCCACTTATAGCAGGCCTTGTAGTCTATATAACTGAACATGTTAGAGCTTGGACTTTACCACCAATGATATTTTCAAAAAGAAGTACTTTTACAGTTCTGTTGTACAATACCGATCACAAGTGATACAAAAGAATTTCAAATCCAAAGTCCAAACACATCCAAGACCTATATTTCTTCTCTCCTCTTGGATCAACTCCAAGACAGAATTCTTGTATGAAGGACCAAGAATTATTCTCAAATTTAACATTCCAAGATGTTAGTGAAAGAAATACATTTTTCTTTAATATTCCAAATTACTCATCTCAATGTAGGGTAAAGAAATTTGGATTCTAAAACGGCATTGCTCTAATTACCCTCATATGCCCTTAGTTCCAACTCTCAAATTGAACTTATCAGGTGTTATACCTCAAGGCACAGATGCCAGATACCACACTGACATCTTTTAATTTCAAGTTATAGAAATGGTAAGGACAAATATACCATGGTGACTACACAGTAAGTGTAATAGCACTTGAATTTTTTGTTTTTGTTGCTGTTTAGTTTTATTTGTGATATCCCCTTGCCTAAATAAATACATAAATAAGAAAAGAAAAGAAATAGTCAACTACATGTAGGAGAGGCAGGAACTCTGAAAAATAGGCCACATCAGACATGAATATGTAAAAATATTTGTTTTGTCCAAATACCTGTCAGTCATTTTGGCTTAGTCTCAAAGGAATATCACTTTGCATGTGCATAATTTTCAAAGTGTATTTACTTACATTGTATAATGGATCCTTCCAACAAATATTGTGATGGCTAGGAAACACCATAAAGACCTGAGTAGAGCCCCATAAGTTTTTATAAAGAAGGTCATATTCCATTACTCTGATTACATTTCAGTCATATCCATTTTTGTCATGTTTACATCGACTCAATTATAGATTGTTCTTAAATAAATTATTCTGATAGAAGGTGTGGCTATCTGGCTTGCCCACTCATCCCACAAGATATACGTGACAGAGTCAGGCCACAATATAAATATCTGAATTCCCGTGGACTGTTTGTTATGACCAGAGCTGGTAAAATAATTTTAAAACATTTTTCCCCTTTCAGGTTTGTTTCTGTAGAGCTAAATATGAAACATGAGGAAAGGATATTGATTAGGCTCCTGGGAGAATTACACTGATTCTGCACACTCTAGGTGTACAAATCAGAGAATTCATTTTACCACATCCCAAACTCCAAAGGCAATTTCATCATTATTACCTTTCAAGCAATTTATGTTGCCTTGTGAAAGTAGTCCCAGGGAATATTTGGTCAGTTACAACTGAACCTTATAGCACAGCCAGACTGTGGAACTCCTGAAAAATAGCCAGATATAAAGGTTGCATTCAAATGCCGAGAAGCACTGGCACTTTACTGAAGAATGGAACTAGCAAATACAACATCCTTTCCCTCTCTCTGGAACATGGGTTTCAGCTTGGATGCCACATTGTTTTCCCTGGGAAGTCTTTCCAGAACTTCTCACCCCTCTCTCAGTGTTAGGGGCCTCTCCCAGGCCATCTTATGTTTTTCTCTATAGTAGCAATTACCATTATTCACGGAAATTGTTCCCAAGATATTAGAAGCTCTGCATAAAGGTGGCTATGTTTGTCTTATTCACCATTGTATCAGTATTTATCAGAGGAATGAACAAATAAATGATTCAACGAATGTATCTGATGTTCAATATTTTTAAGAAAGTAGCTTCATTATTCTTCCATCTGGGACCCTTGTTGAAACCAATATTATGTACTAAACATGAAGCATTATTTACAGATGACTAAAGAATGGAATTGGCATTTACTCAGTACCACTTATGTGCCAAGCACTGTGAGAGTCCGCTTACTGGTAAAATTTATTGTAATCCTTACACCACCTCTACCAGGTAATTAATATTTTATTTTACAGATGGAAAATAAACTAAGAAATAGAAGAAGTTTTGTATATTTTATCTGGTTCTGCAATTCACTTACTATTTCTCTTCCTGTGAAATGAGAATAGAAATGACTGGGTTCAGTTATCTTAAAAAAAATGAGGAAAGGTACATTAGGAAAAGAATACATCGATATAATAATAATGGTGCCAGGCATCCTGCTAAGTGCCTTAGATGCACTACTTCTAAGCAGTCCTCAAAATGGCCTCTAAGAAAATATTAGCTTAATTTTAGAGGTGAAGAAAGTAAGGCTCAGACAATTTAAATAACTTGCCTAGTATCGTGCAGCTAGTAAGTGGTGAATCTAAAATTCAAACCCAGGTCAGTCTAACTCCAAAGCCTGAATTAGAATTTACACTATAATCTACAGCCTCTTAATCATTAATATCCCTGCTATCTAGATACAATACATCCTGTAACAACAGCTTTATTGATATCTAACTCACATACCATACAATTCGCTCATTTAAAGTGTCCAGTTCAATGGTGTTCAGCATATTCACATGGTTGTGCAACCCTCACCACAATCTAATTTTAGAACATTTTTGTTCCCCCCAAAATAAACCCCATATCCATTAGCAATTCTAAGCATCTTTTAATAATATTCTATGACAGATCACTGGACCATAATTGACTCTGAAAACAAATGACTTTATAATATTTATGGTGGAGATTGGGAAGAAAAATATTGGGATAAATATTTTCTATACCGTACTACTCTGTCACCTGCCCTGAGTATGCATCATAGGCCTCTTATTACTCTCCAAGAGAAAGAATAATCACAGGACAATGAATCCATATTCTAACACTTTCTTAAACAGCTCCTAGTATAACACATACTGCTGGGTCAACAATGCTGATCTAGAGTAATATCTTAGAGGAAGGTTAAGAAATGCTTTTAGCCCTTCTCAAATCACAGTCTCTGTTTTCTCCATACATAAGGATATAACCAGCTCTCCTAGTTTACTGAGAGACAATAGGATACCAGAGAAGAATGTTTTGATGGTGAAAGTTTGGGGCAGGAGCAGTGCAGAGGGGATGGATTGAATAATTCATCCAAAACACAGAGTATTACATGAAAAAGGACAAGACCTGTGGGCAACTGAGGAGCAGGTCATGGGTACGGGGCATATGAGAAAGTGAAAAGAGGTCCAGGAGTAGTGAGAGAGTACCAAAAGGAAAGTCTGAGGACTTGACAATTGTCTTTAGAGCTGACACTAAACAGAATTATCCATTAGGAAAACAAACTTCCCTTCACTCTACTGATAAATGTGGTCCACAAACCATATTTTGAGAAACACTGATCTAGGTGTCTCTTTTAGAGAAAGTCACATTCTTATTTTTTTTCTTCTGCCTCCACTTAATTGGGGTAAACAAAATTGATACTGCGATACATTTAAAATAAGTACTACTTATTGCTTATCACATGCTTGTAAACTGCAAAAGCACACAAATAGTAGAACAGAACCTGTCAGGGAATTGCTTATTCATCAAATGGAGTCTGTTTCCTCAATGTTATTACTGTCAGCCCTGCTTAGTTTATAAGCACAATCCTTGGGACAATGTTGATAAATTTGCTTCAATATTTTCACTGTAACATTATATGCTTCCCCAACCCCTTAAAGTACAGAGAATCTCTATAAAGAAACGTGGGCTTACAGTTATAAAATTCTGGCAATAGCCCATCAAAAAAAAAGAGTAACGAGTTTTTCATTAACTAAAATCAATAACATACACCACTGCAATTTGCCATCATTGCAAAAACATATTGCATTCCAATCAGAGAGAGTATAAAAGGTTGTAAGTTCTACAGAGTCACAGAGGTAACCAAAATTAGAGCAGTAAACTAGTCAGTTGTATGAAATCAATAGAATCAGTGAGCTCCAAATCCTATGTAGATGTCTTTATAGCATAAGTATATGACATACAAGGAGAATGTGTAACACCAATCAATAATGACCACTCAATGTGACAATAGAAGTTGGGAAATATATTCTATTTGCTGTTTGA